GATAATTATGGAATCGTTTGACAATAATAAGTTGGCCCACGAATTTTTGACCACACTATAATAACCCGTGTTCATTCTTGGCTGTTTATATTGTTCATGTACACTTTATCTTTGAATGATGTATAGAATATTTGTAAATTGAAATACATGTGAGACACGACGTGGTGGAATCAGGCGCTCGTCATTTTTGGGCATATGAAGTTATAAGTAACATCTTAAAGCCTGTTCATATGCCTTGCTTTTCGGGGGAAAATTGCATTCTATGTTGAAAAGAAGTTGAAATATTTGCGACAGAAGGAGGAGAGGGTCATCTGGTTTCAAAGGTAAAATTCACGAGAAAATGGCCGCCAAAGTTTGGTAACTGCAATAGTCAGAGAGGATTCTGAAACTGAAAATTTACGTTTTTTGTGCCTTTAGTCAATGCGTTTAAAAAAAAAAGTAAAATAAAAAAAAAAAATGTGTTAAATGGACATAAAAGGTGTTGAGCCAAAAAACAAAAATTCGATAAAAATTGCCCAACTGGCGGAAAAATGCCGGTTTCTCCAATTTGGTTATTTTAACGAGCGCCTGATTCCACCATGATGCCATATACTTTACACATATTTTTATGATCTGAGCCCATGTGATCAGAAGCAAGTGTATATTTTTCTACAACAAGCACTGATGTCTTTCCCTGTAAGAAAATGTTCCGCGTTGCAATAATTGCACTATGTTGTTGTCTATTGACAAACCTTTTGACATGAGAAATAAGTGGGTGGTTGGCGGGACTCTGGTGTGCTCTGCCCAGCCCCCCCCCCTTTTTTTTCTTTCTTTGCCTGCCCTTTTTATTTATCTTTAAACATAAAACTATGTTGTCCTTGTCTCTCTGTTCTTTGTATCTCTCTAGTAACTCTTCTAATTTACGGCATTTACAACTCAGAGACCTCGTCGATAATGAGAAATTGGTCGCTTTTAAGGACAAGCGGGCTAACCCAGATTTTGGGGGTTTCCAGAAATATTGACCTACAGCAAAAGTGGGCATTGCCCTACCTATAGGAGAAGTTTGGTTTCATTGGTGTGTATATTTGTTTGGCCATAGAGAAAACTCTTCTTGTTTTTTAAAGAAGCTGAACATGGTTAAAAAAAAAAAAATTTACCTTCGATTTTCTCAAAACAGCATTTTTGGGATAACCCCCATTTGCTTAAATTAAAAGCGACCAATTAACAGCGATATCTTTCTTGATTTACTGCACACAGACACTACCACTGTCAGGGTACTGTTTAATATACTTCCAAAACAATAGAAAACGAACTGCTGGACTGCATTTTTAAAATATACCACGAACATCTGAATAAAGACATAATGTGCTCTGCCAACTTTCTTTCTGTCCAGGCTGACGAAACAAGTCACAGTTTGTGAATAATTCTGAGGTCAGCCTGGACAGAGGTATTAAGGAAGGAGCAAAAGAAATATGGATACATGATCAAAGTCAGCAAATAGATGAAGAACCAAAACAAAGACAGCAAATACATGCATTCGAAAATCAAGTGGGATAAAAGGATGCTCAAATACAGGATGCATAAGATGAAAAGGAGGAGATATTTTAATGGACAACGGGGATGTCTTAAACAGATGGTCA